GGGACAGTGTGGCTGCAGCCGTTGCTGCAAGGGGGCGCGAAGTCAGGTAACGTTCCCCCTCATGCCTAGACCACCCTCCCCAAGACCCAGCACCCCCAACTTGCTCTCACACCCTCCCTTGTTCTTGCACCCTCCATCTGGCCAGACACCCTACTCACAGCCTGCTTCCGTACCCTAGCTCCCTCCCAGATCCTACACCCCATCCCTATCCTATTTGCTGGCAGCCCTGTCTTGTGCACGGTGCCCATCATTTTTGTTCCTACCCCAGAGCCTAAGGACGTCCTTAAAATCCACTAACTCCAGAACCCCCCAAAAATAAATTTAGTCTATGGGAAGCCCTGAATCTCAGTTTCCCCTTTCCCTTCCCCTCAGCCCAGGAGGTTGGGGCACCAGAGGAGTGAGGTGTCTGTTGGGGCCATATCAATGAGCGTTGTGGGGGTTCTGAGAAGTTTTTTTGCTTCTCATTTGTGTGGTCCCCAACTAATATTTTTGTGGGTCAGTGACCCCAGATCCAAAAAGGGTTCCACACCCCTCCCATAAATAAAGAAAACATTGAAACCTTTTATGCTGGACATAATATTTTACTTTATTTAAAATGAAATTTGATAAACTAACATGAGAAAGTTAAAACGCTTAGTCTGTTTCATAATTTAAATGAAAGTGTTCTTGCTAGCTGCAGCTGGTTCAGAAAATAAGGTCACTGTACCCAGCAGGGTAGTTCTCAACTCCGCTCCTTCCGCTAGAGGCCACGCCCCTTCTACCCAAGGCTCGCAGCCACTTCTGAAATTTGTGAGGTGGCCCCCTCCCTTCCAAAATTATTGCCCACCTTGATCTTGGGGCATGATGTAGCCAGTTCATCCAGTGCTTCACAGATCCACATGCCCATTCCACACCTGTACAGGCTCATAACAGGATCCTAGCTTGTTGTTATGGCTCATGTGAAACCATTCCATACAAAACCATTCAATTGGATGAGGATCTGATGGGTTTATCCTCTTTTAGATTCTCTGGCCATGTCTTCACTCTGTGGAAGATCACGGGATCAGTCTTCTGGAGTTCGATTTAGTGAGTCTAGTTAAGACTCGCTAAATTGAACTCAGCGGGCACCCCCACCGGAGTCCAGTACTCTTGCTCTTATGAGGAGTTAGGAAAGCCAATGAGAGCAAACCCATTGTGGGGATGCTGCCGAGGTTGGCTTAAGGAATACATAGCTGGAGTTGTGTACCTAGCTGCTGGGTCTAGTGTAGACCTGGCTTCTGAGCAAAGCCCTTGTGCTTTGCTTTTATGAATTTAGAGGCAAATCTGTACCTGCGGCTCTGGCAGTTCCCATGTGGTTCCTCCCAAACAAAGGAGAGTCAGGATTTTGAAGTATAAGGGCAATTTCAGGTGAGACATGCACCTGTTCTACAAGGCTTAGCTCTGTTGTAACTCCCTGGACTACTGTCTGCCACAGTGCACATAATCCTCACAGTAATAGTGACTGTGCGGGTGCCTCATAGTAGTAGTGACTGTGTTACTACACTGATGGGATTCCCCTGCATCTGTGGATTCCCCCAACCCAGTTACTGGGGCTTGGTGCTGTGGCCCCAAACAATTAACTGGCTCCCATAGTAATAAAAGGTTTTTACCTGTAGTTCTAGCCTTTTAAAACATTAAGGGCTAAACTGAGCTGTTGGCTCAGCCAGAGCAAGGAGCAGTTCATAGCAGCACCACCCCAGGAGGAGTAGTGAGGCAGAATTCACTCAGGTTTGATCTACACTAGAAAATTAGGTTGGATTAAACCAGGGTTTCTCAAACCTCACTGCACCGCAATTCCCTTTTGACAACAAAAATTACAACACTATCCTGAGGAAAGGGACCGAACCCTAAGCCCCATTTCCTCAGATGGGGTGTTAAAACTAAAGCCCAAAGAATTCAGCCCCTGACCACAGTAAGTCTAGCGCCAGCCCTGAAAACCCCATTAAAATGGGATTACAACCCACTTTTGGGTCCTGACCCACAGTTTGAGAACTGCTACCTTAAACTATGTTCATAGAATTATAGAACACTAGAACTGGAAGGGACCTCAAGAGATCGAGTGCAATCCTCTGCCCTCACGGCAGGACCCAGTACCATCTAGACCATCCCTGAGAGATGCCTGTCTAACCTGCTCTTAATGATCTCCAGAAATAGAGATTCCACAACCTCCCCAGGCAACTTATTCCAGTGTTTAGCCACCCTGACAAGAAGTTTTTCCTAATGTCCAACCTAAACCTCCCTTGCTGCAGTTTAAGCTCCTTCTTGTCCTATTCTCAGAGGCGAAGGAGAACAATTTTTCTCCCTCCTCCTTGTGACACCCTTTTAGATAGCTGAAAACTGCTATCATTTCCCCTCTCAGTCTTCTCCTTTCCAAACTGAACAAGTCCAAGTCTTTCAATCTTCCTTCATAGGTCATGTTCTCTAGACCTTTAATCATTCTTGTTGCTCTTCTCTGGACCTTCTCCAATTTCGCCACATCTTTCTTGAAATGTGATGCTCAGAACTGGACACAACACTCCAATTGAGGCCTAATTAGCGCAGAGTAGAGTGGAAGAATGACTTCTCGTGTGTTGCTCGTGACACTCCTGTTTATGCATCCCAGAATCATGTTTTCTTTTTTGCAACAATGTCACACTGTTGACTCATATTTAGCTTGTGGTCCATTATGATCCCTAGATCCCTTTCTGCAGTACTCCTTCCTAGACCATCACTTTCCATTCTTTATGTGGGATGTTTATGCTTAAAATGCTAGAGGAACACAGCTGTGCAGCACATAGTGCTTTAGTATAGAAACTACCTATGCTGATAAGAGGGGTTCTGTAGTCAGTGTAGGTAATCAGCCTCCCCAGGTGGCGGTAGCTAAGTCTACAGAAGAATTCTTGAGGTTGGCTTAATAATGCTGCTCAGATATGTGGATTTATCACACTCCTGACTCACCTAATTAAACCAATTGATTAAGATAGTGCCAGTTTCATTTCCCTTCCCTTTCCATCGGATTCGCTCTACCAACATCTAGAACGGGCAGGGCTGTAGCCCCTCATTTGGTACAAGGAGCATCTGAGGCACAGTCCTTGCTTTTCCCCATCATGCTCACAGCTGTAAGCTTGGCAGCCCTCACACAGTTGTCTCTTTTCCCCTGCATTAGGGCTAGAAAGGATCTGGTGCTAAGTGATTTGAGAAACAGCAAGACAAAACTATTCCCAACTTTCAAAACACAAAATTAATCTTTGGAATGAGAGCAAAGTGAGAAATTTCAGCTCAGGGTATACTTATTTACTCCCAGATATGTATAAGCTCCTGCAAAGAGGCTTGAAATGAAGTGGCTTCTCCAGTTAGAATTCTGAGTTTGCTTAAATGTCCAGTCTCCAGGTGGTTAAAAGAAGTGTTTTTGTAAGAGATTTTATTCGAAGAGAATTTTGACATGTTAATTATCCTTGAGATCCCCTCTTGTTGGAATTGGGTTTTACTGTATCCAGAATTCCAAGTGAAGGATCATCTCCTAAAAAGTCACATTTAACCTGTTGCGTTCCTGTATTGTTTCAGACTTATGGATGAGCTCCCAGATTCAGTGATGAAGTGGGCTCCTACTGGAAGCAGTTGTGGTAAGCATGATTAGACCATACATTGCATTCTGTATGTTTTATCAATTTGTTTTAATCTGTTTTTACAACCGCTGGGCAAGAAGACAGGAAGAACAAAGTAAACAAAATTAACCTTAAAATTAATATTTTAAATTAAATTATAAATTCCACTCTACCTAAAGCAAGCATGGTTAATGCAGCATTTTCCCAGTATGGTTCTGATTCTTCAAATTGTAGTGTGTGGGCACAGCAGTCCACCTGCGTGGTACCTCTTTGAAGCTAAACCCACATGCTAAACTTTGCAGGATTGTGGCCATCTATGTAAATATTTGACCAGAGATCAGAATAAGCTTGGAATTGACCATCAGTATCTGACAGGTAGGGAAGAGCAGACCAAACAGTAACTTCTGAGTAGCTCACGCTGTAGGGCTGAAGAGTGAAATTGGCCTTTTAATGAATTATTTCTACCAACATGGCATTATGCAAACCTCATGAATTGCAGCCCAGTTTTCATGAATGGTATTTGGATTAATTTGTTAGTAACCTGTTAAGAATTGCCATTGAAGAATCTGTTGTAAGTTGTCTGTAACTTTTTTATATATTGTAACTAAAACCCCATTTCATACTTTTACTGCCTTAACTCTGTTTGTTTAAAGTTAGAGGTCTGTCTGTTTAAATCTAATTAAAAGTGTGAATGTGAAGATGTATGTAAAGGGTTCAAGTCTCTGAAGCCATCCTATCTAGGTGACCAGTTGCAAGCACCACGTTGATAGCCAAAGAACAATGTAGGCGAGCCCTGCAAAAGAACCCACCCAAGAAAGAGAGACAAATGCCCCATCAAGAAAGAGATCAAAAGTTCCATCTGCCGTTAATTGATGACTCATTGTCATACAGTTCTCTAGGGAAGTGGGGACAGGACGAGATTTATGGATTACTAAAACATATAAGAAGAAGATGCAAAACTATAGAATTAGGTCTTTCAGTTCTACAGTCATCCTCCAGGAGCATTGGTGTGCACTGACACAACCTGGCTCCTTCCATTCATGTCTAGACCACCTGGCCAGTGGAATAGCATGAGCAACTGAGGCTGGTAATTATAGCCCATCTGTAGAAGTGTGTGTGAGACTGTGTATGTGTGGGGGATAAGTTTAGTAGATAAGAACAGTAAATTAATTCTGCCTTCACAATAAACACGGGATATTGGCTTACCCCCCAAATAAAGTTCTTCTAGTTCTATTTCTACGAGTGCATCGACGCACACCTCAATTTACAGCAGTCCTCTGTGTGTCCCTCCATCTGTCTGTTCGTCCGTCAAAGCCAGCCACTCAGGAAATGCTTTTTTTTTTTTCCTTCAAGTTTTCCCATAGTTGTTAATGTTCCTTCTTTTTCATGATTTAGAAGGTTTTTCCTGAAATATAATCTAATGGTAAGAATAGTGGGATAGCAGAACAAACTGCCTCAGGGGTGTGTGGAAGCTTGTTCATAAGGGCTGTGTGTAAACTGCATCCCTTTTCCGTAAAAGGGATGCAAATTAGACACATCGCAATTGCAAATGAAGTGGGGATTTAAATCCCCCCCTGCTTCATTTGCATAAACATGGCTGCCACTTTTTTCCGGCTTGGAAACGTTCTGGTGCTAATCATTTCCGGCTGGGAAACACCATAGGAAATGCAGACGTTGCCTGTCTTCTAAAACTCTTCCCCCTTCTCCCCTCCCCCGACTTGAATGGAGGCACTTCCATGCAGACACAGAGACTGGATGATGATTATCATTGGTGCTAATCATTTCCATACCTCCCAGCTCTATTTAGGGTCCCCTTTGCTTACAGAGCAAAAGAAATGACCAGGGCCTTCATGCCAGTACTAAAAATGTTTCTGGGTAGCAGAAGGTTAAAAAACAAAACAAAACTCTCACCCTAGTAGTTCCCCTTGGCTGTGAGGCTTCATGCCTATGGATGCTCAGATAAAGAAAGCATCTTGCGGCCCACCAGTGGTTTACCTGGGTAGTATCCCCTGCTGCTTGGTAGTTTTAAAAGACTGTTCCTTAGATCAAAGTTTTCTAGTGAGGGCCCCCTCTTCTGCCCACATGTATTTTGTCAGCCTCAGATTCTCATCCACTGCATCCACAGATCTTGCTCCAACTCTCTGTGTTCCAATTGTACCTGAGGTGAAGTACATCCAGCCTCCGCAAGTGGATTGTGTTACTGCTAGCAGTTTCTTGGATGCTGAATTTGCTAAGGCTAATCAAGTTCCAATGCACAGGAAGTATAAATGGTCAACAGCAGCATGCCCCTTCAGGTTGAAATCCAAGATTTTCTAGAGATTTTACAGTTTAAGTTGCCAAACTTTCTTATAATGTTTGGTATTCCTGGCTCTCAAGGCATGGTCCACACATCTTATGGAAGATGCTGCACTACCAACAATTGGGTCTTGCTAAGTAAGGGGTCAAGGAAACAACCAGCACTGAGAAGTCCATTGCTTTCTGGCCCAGCAAATTATTCATCTCTCTAAATATCAAGACTTTGCTGATTTATTTGATAAAAGGAATGATAGTATTTAACAACCACATAGACACAATTGTCCCATTGGTTTGGCTAAAGGCTAAATTTCCATTTGGATGGATTTACTCCTTTTTCTTCAAGTGATGTCCCCATGGGTGCTCCACTGTTGGTGTCGGGCCATCCCAGCACCACATACCGGAGTTTTCATGAGGAGTGGTCAGCTGAATAACACATGTGCAGTTCGTGCCTTGAGCCGTTCGTGCTTTGATTTGATCACACGCACGGTTCGGCTCCCGCCAGTTCCTTCTTCGCCGCCTGCAGTCGCAGACCGAGCAAGCCTTCTCTCCTCAGACAAACCCAGTCAGGAATCAAAGTTTATTTTAATTCATACTTATAGTTAGTTGTAGTTGTTATAGTTAGTTATAGTTCACAGTCATAGTTTTTTTTAAAAAAGTTTTGTCTTAGTAGCTACTGCTAACTGCTATGTCAGGCTCTCCTGGCTTTAAGAAGTGCGCCACATGCCAAGACGCGATGCCAGCTTCGGACAGTCATGACGACTGCATTAAGTGCCTCAGCGAGGCGCACGTGCCTTAGAAATGTGTCCACTGTTAGGGCATGTAGGGTGTGACTGCGTCGAGGGGTGTGATCATCCCCTTCCACCCGGAAGGGGGGTTCAGCGGACCCCATCGTCAAATTCTGGCCTGTTGATCCCGGAGTCTAATCCGGATTTGCGTCTTTGGGTGCGATCACCCTACTCAGCCGAGTCTGGGGGATCTGCGGACCCAGGGGTCGCCAGCCCCTTTGTGCGGGTTTTCCCCCCGCGGTCTTGGAGGTTCCCGCTCACCGGCGCTGGAGCACCTCTCAACTCCATATGGTGGCGGCAGGGAAGGGGGACCCAGGCCCACCCTCTCCACCGGGTCCCAGCTCGGGACCCTAAGCACAGGGGTCTGCTTGCTCCCTGTGCGGTAGACGTGGAGTGTCCCCTCAAAACACGTCCACCCACGGCCACCAGAAGGGCCCCGCCCCGGGCTGCTTCCTCCCCCCCACGTATCCTGTTGCCCTTCCTGTGAGGTCCCCGTAGACTACCGTGTCTCAGCCGCTCGGCGAAGGAGAAGTCCGCCCTTCGTAGCAGGGTCTGGAACCGTCGGTAGCCCGCGGCTGTGGGGGTCCTTGGCCTCCCGTCTCTGGGGGGTCTGCGTCGGGGTTCCGGGCTTCCTGGGGCGGCATCTCCCCGCGCCCGGCCCCAAACCCTTCGGGAGCCGGCCTCCGAGGTGCCCCCCCCCCCCCCCCCACGCCACCGGGCCCTCTTCAAACA